AGCTCACCTCTCTGCAGCCCTGGAGACCTTAACCAGAGCAGTTCTGTTTCATGGAAGGAGAAAGGCAAGATGCCAGAAACCCACATAGAGGATCTGTATCCCCTGCCACCTGTGAGTTGTTCTCCATGGGAATCACGGATTCCCAGCATGCCTGGGTCCTTTAGGAGAGGGCAGACAAAGGGAGGTGTTGGATCAATGAGCTTTGCCAGGCATGCTTGGCCCCATTCTATTGGATGGAAGTGCTGGAGGTGCAGGGGTGCTGCAACCCTAAGGTAACAATGGTGACAGTGGAGCAAATCCTTGGCTACAGAATGAAGCATCCTGGTCCCACCCTATGAATCAGTTCAGTGCTGCGAGCAGTTATTCAGGCCCCAGGCTTGGATTAGGATTTGCACTGTCGTAGTATACCATGGGATCATGACATAATTAATTACAGGTGTCAACCTTACTCTCCCAGTGGACAATTCCTGCCATTGCCTGCTCTGAATTACCCCTTTGCCCACGGACCTCATCACAGATGGATTTAGAATGAATGTTAAAGCTGCTAAATATCCTAGTATTGCTAAAATGTGTTTGCGGGGGCTTTGTTGATTTCTCTGTCTTTAGTTTACCTGCTATTGACAATTCCACATTCGCCACCCAATAGATTATCTAATTGCAGACTAATATGAAAAAACTAAGCCAATCTCAGAATCAGAAAAAAATTGGAAGTTCATGGTCCCTGTGAGGGTTTACGCCCCTCCTTACAGGGCAGCACGGCCTAGTGGCCAGCGTCCATAGGATCAACCCTTGTCTCAGGGCGGCACGGCCTAGTGGCCAGCGTCCATAGGATCAACCCTTGTCTCAGGGCGGCACGGCCTAGGGCCAGCGTCCATAGGATCAACCCTTGTCTCAGGGCGGCACGGCCTAGTGGCCAGCGTCCATAGGATCAACCCTTGTCTCAGGGCGGCACGGCCTAGTGGCCAGCGTCCATAGGATCAACCCTTGTCTCAGGGCGGCACGGCCTAATGGCCAGCGTCCATAGGATCAACCCTTGTCTCAGGGCGGCACGGCCTAATGGCCAGCGTCCATACAAGTCAACCCTGGTTGCAGGGCGGCACGGCCTAATGGCCAGCGTCCATACAAGTGCCCCTGGTTGCAGGGCGGCACGGCCTAATGGCCAGCGTCCATACAAGTGCCCCTGGTTGCAGGGCGGCACGGCCTAATGGCCAGCGTCCATATAAGCGCCCCTGATTGCAGGGCCGTAGGACCTTACTACTGGCTCAGCGCAGGGGTCCTACCGAAACACGCTGAGGCTTACCGGAGTCAAGGTACCAGTCTGTCACCTCCCCCAGGTCTCTCCCTACCGGCTGGGGAGTTGGGGTCTCCCACGGATCCCAGGGTTCTCCGTGAGTCTCCAGATCCGTTGCCTCCTCTGGTTGCTCCCGCCATAGGGGTTCATGCCGGCCTGTAAAAGCCTCTGTTCCTGGCAGCTTCAAGAGCGTCGGCTAGTCCTCTGCTGGAGCTTCCCAGTTAGGTCCTTCCCCTGCGGCCACCAGCCCTGACTAAGCTGAGTTCCCTCCTTTTATACTCGGTGAGCATCTGGAGCATGCCCAGTACGAACGGAGCGGGACTTCCTGTGTCAGAGCTACTGGTCTGACGTTGCTGGGGCTAGTGCGGGGCGGGGCTGCCCCGTCACAGTCCCACAAAGACAAAATCTTGAAATGGCAAAAGGTTACAGTATATCTATTATTATTTAGGGTTATTTGTCAAGTATTGGCAGTGTGTGCTGGTGCTGTTCAAATCTCAAAAGGAGATACATTCTAAAATGAAGAATTTTTTTTTAAACCACTGTTCGTAATTTGTAATCGTACTTCATTATATTCCAAAGTTAGGAAATTCCATCTTTCAATCTGACATTTCTAGAGAACCAAAGTGATACTGATATCAATATTTATCAAATAAGAGCATATTTTGCACAAATTATGTAAATCAGTTATCAGTATTAATTATGCTGGTGTTATTCTGTGTGAACTGCTGTGGATTTCAGTGGGAGATCAGCACACACACACACTGCAGAATTGGTCCTCATCTGTTTTCAGTGTCATACAGTGTATATCATATGTTTCAATCAGTAAAGTACTGCTGTCACTTATCTGCCCATGGATTAGAATATGCGAATAGAACAGTTGCAGAACACCATCTAGTGGTGCTGTGTATTACCTTAAACTAATTAAATACATTTTAAACATTTCCTCACATCTCTCTGTGGTTATTTCTAAGGCACCTGTTACCACAGAGTGAAATTAGGGCCCCACTGAAGTCAATGAGAATTAATCCAGAGTATCTAAGGATTAATTAAACATAGCACTAGGTATGCCTTAAATCAGTGGCTCTCAACCTTTCCAGACTATTGTACGTCTTGCTGGAGTCTGATTTGTCTTGCATACCCCAAGTTACACCTCACTTAAAAAACTACTTGCTTTACAAAATAAGACATAAATATACAAAAGTGCCACTCCACACTATTACTGAAAAATTGCATACTTTCTCATTTTTACCACATAATTATAAAATAAATCAATTGGAATATAAACATTGTACTTACCTTTCAGTGTATAGTATATAGAGCAATATAAATAAGTCACTGTCTGTATGAAATTTGGGTTGTATTGACTTGGCTAGTGCTTTTTATGTAGCTTGTTGTAAAAGTAGGCAAATATCTAGATGAGTTGATGTCTTATGGAAGACCTCTGCATACCCCCAGGGGTAAACACACCCCTGGTTGAGAATCGATGCCTTAAATGGCACTACTCTCACAGTCGCCTTGTAGATGTGTTAGTTATTTTGTTTTTCCTGATGTATACATGTGCATTTGTTTTAAATATTTTTTTCTTTTTTTCCTATGTCATCCTAAAGTGGCTGTTCTGACCTTGACATTAAGTATAAATGATTATACAGTGAGGGCTTACAATTAAAATAATAATTAATAAAACAAATAGCTTGGGGGACATATGGATTTTTATTATGACAGCAGAGTTTCCTGAGTTTCACTGGCTCTGTATTTTTCAGAAAGCCTGTTTCCCCATAATCTCCTGAAAGAATTCAAATCAACTGACACATTTTAAGTGATAGTCCCTTGGTTTAAACTTGATGGAGCTGTTGTCTAAGCAATCTTTATGTGTGTATAGAAGGGGTACTTTAATAAGCATCTCAAGCTGGCCCAACAAATCACGTCTCCTTGTCTTCAGATCACAGTGCAAAGCCCATGTCTTCTTTCAGATATTTGCTTGAGGGGATCGGATGGGTGGGGAGATAAGATTGGGGGTGGAAAGTAATTGGCGTTGATGGAGAAATGAGAGTTAGGATGCTTTCTTTGTGGGGGATGATTCTTTTTTCTACCTCTAGAAGAGGCAGCAAGATATGTATTTATGTGTGTCTAAAGGCTTGTCTACACTGGTACTTTACAGTGCTGGAACTTTCTCACTCAGGGGTGTGAAAAAACACCCCCCCGAGCGCTGCAAGTTTCAGTGCTGTAACACAGCAGTATAGACAGTGCTACAGCACTGGGAGCTACTCCCCTTGTGGAGGTTTTTTTTTATAGCGCTGGTGCCACAACTACACAGCCATGTTGAAGTTCTGCCGCGGCAGCGTTTAATGTTGCTAGTGAAGACATGCCCTTATTTTCTGTGGGTGCTTTGATCCAGGTAAAAGGGAGCAATTTAGAAGGCTAAGAAAATACAGGAAATATAGTTTCCATAACTGTTTAAAGTAAAAGCAGAAAGTATTCTTCTGTGTGAAAATATCCAAAAAACACAAGGCCAGATTGTGCTCTTACCTCTAGCTGAACAAATCCAGGCGTACTGCATTTTGTTCAGTAGAATTCATCCAGTTTCACACTGGGTAATGAAAGCAGAATCTAATACACTGTATTATAGTCAAAGGATCATAAATTTCACCCAACTTGTTGGACAACTTCCTTGTATTCCATTTCTAATACAGCTTTTTCTTTCACACTCTAGTCTGAGGACACATTTCTGTTTTAATGTTCCTTCTACCCATTGTGCTTCAAGGGTGGACTGGGGATATTATGGGTGCTGTTATCCAGAGCTCAAAATGAAAAGATGTTAGATTGAAAAAAGAAAAGAAATGATGTTATATTGCTCTTACACAATCACTATTTCTGAGTAATGAAGTAATGAGTATTGCAAAGTGTACACAGAAAGAGGCAGATTTACTCTAAGATTGCATGGGCATCCTTATTTTTGGCACTTCCTGACTTCTTGGCATTGTTTACCCATTCAACTGTAGCATTCTTTAATGTAGGTTTTTTAAAATGAAATTTTTGTACTGAAATCAAAAAAAAAACAAAACATAAAAATAAATATTAAATCCCCCTTTGCAGGGTTCAATTGTACCAGAAATGGAATGGCTGGACTGCAGGAAAGGATTATATTTTACAAGGCCAGTGCACAAAGCCAGGGCTCCTTCCTACTTCAACAATCATCCTCTTTGTCTCCCCTCTGAGCAGGCAGTCACCACGTGATAGTCCTGAGGGCTGGTCATTCTAGTTGCAATTGAATGGGGCTGTGGGGTGCAGGTGAGTGGTGCTGGTGTATATATAAGTGTGGATAAGAGATGGTGCTGGAACTCAAGTACAATTTTTTTTTCCTTACCAGAGGTCCAAGACAAGTATCAAAATTTATTGGTCTTGATAGCATTTAGGAGAGGAAAGTGTGTTTCTCTAGTCTAACTTGACAAAACACAGAACATTGGCCTGTAAAGTGTGGGTAGCACTTAAATTTTTAAAAGTGGGATTTTCAAAAGCAATCTGTGTTGCATTGCAGTCATGGGAGCAGAGGAAGGCCAATGATGAAACCTTTTGAAACCCCACCCTAAATTATGTTCTCGATAGTTTTATTGTTTTAAATGTTAATAATATAAAACTTTCTAAAAGAAAAGTTAATATTTGAAGAAAACAAAAACAAGTGGATAAAAGGGTGATATGATAATAGCCTTACTTTCCTCTTTGGATGGCATTTTCAGAAATTTTTCCGTAAAGGAGCAGCTGGTTACAGGGCATTCATGTTGGTGCCTTTGAAGTGGCTTACTGGATCCGTCAAACATTTAGACTGCTGATGTGCTGTCAGGGATGTCATGTCCTCTGGATTGTCATTTTCCTTTGATTTACCTTTGAATCTGGTGCTTTCATCTATATGAGAAGAAGAACCTATGCAAATACCTTAACAAGATCCAGTCACAGATACTTTTGGTATAACAGGGTATTTGCTCATGCTTTTTATTATGAAGTATTTATTATTAATTATTATTATTATTTTATTATTATTACTATGTGAATATCTAAAAACTGACATCAGATCCAGGAGTAGCCAAACAATTACAAAAAAACATTTCTCAAGAAGTCAGGAATAAAATCAGTAACTACAACACAACTTTATTCTATATAGCATCTTTTCATAAAAACAGTATCCCAAAATCCTATTTCAGAGTAAAATCATACAATTATCTTTATGTGTGTAGAATATACAGAATTGTAGTTTAAAGTCTCATCCGACCCCCCCAACACACATGAGTTCTTCAGGTAACATTGTTATTTCTAACCCTGGAGAGCAGTAAGTTTGGTGTAGGCGCAGGGAGAGAGACAGCAATCCCAGGTGAATATATAAAGGGGAGAACAAGGCCTTCTAAGGGGAAAACAAATAGGATCAATGTTGGTGGGGTCGTGATTTTATTGCACTTGGCAGAATAGCACTGAACATAATTTTAATTTTGAATTCAGGAATATCTTGTTTGAGGACTGCCTTATATTTCTAATGAAATGATTGAGAACCCACCTTCCGTTCCTAGTGAAGTCTGCTAGTGATTTTACCATGGACATCAAAAGGAGCATGATCCAGCCCTATGTGAATAGTAACAAGTGACTCATCTTAAAATGGTATTGATACATTTTATATAATTATAAACCAGCACTGTAAATATACAGAATGTTGTACACAACTCACACTGGGACATGATCTATGCCCTAGAGAGCTTGCAGTATAAGGTACTGATCTTGCAGAAGGATCTACTCAGACAGACACACCCTGCAACATCCCACTGATTTAAATCACTCTTGGATTGGGACCTAATGCAGACAAGACAAAACACAGGTAGGTGGGTGTGGAGAGACCAGTGATGAAGAAATAAATGTAGAAAGGATTTCTGTAAGAAATGGACTTTAAAGAAGAGACAGAAGGAGGAGAGACAGGGCTATTAGCAGAAAAGAGGTGGGAGACTGTTCTAAGTGTGGTGGACACAACATGAGAAAAGACATCATGCTGAAAACAGGAGAAAGGAGCGAGCGTATGGAGCAAGAGAGTAAGTAGAATGAACTTATGACAGGAATTTAGGTAGGGGCGAGATTCCATAGGACTCTGAAGGTAAGAACGAGGAGCTTGAATATGATGCAATAAAAGATAGAAAATCAAAAAGGGCAGTAGTGGTATGGTTGGAACAAGAGAGGACAAGGACTTTAATGGCATTTGGAAAGATTTAGAAGCAGCATTTTGAAGTTAAGCAGAGAGGAGGTTATAATAATCAAGACAACTGATGACAAAGGCATGAGCATGTTGGTGATAGGACAGAGACTTTAAAACCTGTATTTATTGATTTGTCATTTCCCCTATAACTTGTATACTTCAGGATGGCATGGATTTTGTTGCCATTTTCCAAACCTTGACAAATAAATGGCTTTAGCAATGGTACATCACTTTTGTAACTTCACTCTACTGGATTCAGAGAAGGACCTAATTAGGAATAAGAACAGATTCCACTGAGTTTCATTCATGTTTTGCTTGTCTTATTTTGCAGCTGCGTAGGGCTAAATTATTGTAACTAAACTTCTCATTAATACTTATGTATTGGAAACTGGTTTGTGTTAGTTAGTTGTCAGAAAAAGATTAATTTAGTATTTGCTATGTATGCTTTGCCAAGAATCTGATGGCTCATTAAGAGGACTAATAAAAGAAGCTGGAAGTATTCAGGTTGCACAAACATTTTCTTAGCTTATATAACATTATTAATTATAGCTCCCCAGAGGAGTTCCTGAACTGATTAAAATAATACTTTACAGCTTATTGATTCTAATGAAAAGAAGACTGTCCTACTTTATCCCTCTCTTAGCCATCGCAGTTCTTGTATGTAAAGTCCAGTAAAATTATACTAAACTGGTATCTCTAACCCTATTAGAAAGGGTTATACTTACATATCTGGACAATGTATCTAGTACTGTGGGTAGAGGAGTGTTGTTTATCTAGCCCCCTGTGGTGATTTTTGTATACATCAGAATTAGAAATCCATTTAAGGAACATTTATATTCAAGACTGATTCTTTAATGGAAATACCACACTTCCTTTCTTGACTAAGCATCTCCCAGAAGCCATGGCACATTACCGATTGTCACAGCAGTTTTTCACCTCTGTTCAAATCTGTTTTGGGTTACAAGAGAAGTGAGTACATCGGTTTTAATACAGCCACTAATGCGTCTTTGTCTTCACCACAAAACGACCACAATTTGACCATATTAGCAGTTTATTGCTACGCAGAAACCCAAATGTAGAACAGCAGAGAGATCCCAGGTCAGATGTGAAGTACTGTTACAGTGTTATTCTCTTACTTTTATAAGCAGTAAAACCTCTCACCCTCTTGTCTTCTCCCACATAAAGGGCCTGATTCCCTGTAACCTTGTAGTCACGGAATGTACAGTAGTGCAAAGCAAATGTAGAGTGGGTGTCAAAAATCGCCAGATCAGCATGGTACTTTCTTATATTCACTCTGCAATGGTGTAATGTAAGTGACTATATGCAATGCAGGGCAATGGTGAATCAGGCCCAAAAAGCCCACCTACCTGAATAGATCTGCAGAGGAAAACATGCTCTCTGGAATAGCACTTTCTGCCCTGCCCTAGCCACTATGCAGTCTCCTTAAATCGCCACTAGAGCAATACTCCGGTACAAGATGCATGGTCTGGCGACTGGCCCACGTGCGGAATTACATGAACCCCGTGCAGGCTACTGAGAACTGCAGGATGAGGTGCACCATGAGCAAGGGCAGTGAAGTATATTGAAGCAAGGGTGTCCCTGGGAATGTAGAAGCAGGACCGGATTCTCAGCTATTGCAAATGGGCATCACCGCGTGACCAGCAAAGCAACCGCAAGCCCGCCTCTGCTTTGTAGAAGAGCCTGGCCTCCCTACACCACGGCGTCCCTCCGAAACTGCGGGCGCGGGCTGACGCCGACGGAGTCCCACAGCTGTGACCTAAACCCGGCTCTCTTCCCCCACGAGAAGCCCGGGGCTGGAGCCGGAGCCCCCCACCCCTGCCTGCTGCGGCTCCGACTGTCACCGGAGGGACGCCGGCGGCTCAGCAGGTAACTGGAATCGGGCCCCTCACTGCGAGAGGCCAGCGGCTGGGAGCACGGAGCGGGGCCTGGCTGTCTCCCAAGGGTGGGGCAGGTGGAACATCCACAGCCTCACCCCAGCGCCTGGCTGCTGCTAGGCTCCAGCCAGCCACAAGCACGCCCGAGCCTACTAGTCCCGCCCCTCAGCAAGCGACGGCTCTGCCAGCCAATCGCTAGCATAGCCCCCCCGCGGAGAGCTGGCCCATCAGCCAATCGAAATAATTCATCTAGCCATTTACCCCGCCCCCGGGGAGTGACACCTGTATCGGCCAATCGTTGTCACTCACAATCGCAACAATGCCCATTCCTAGTCAGCCATAGCCCCACTAAAACTGCCCCCAAGTGCTCTAGCCAATCGTCATCGTCCTCATTGGCGACGGGCAGCGTACCTTGGTAACAGGTTGCGGCCGCGTTTTTAGCGTCATAGGAGGAGCGGAGGTTTTGATTGGCCAGTGTGGTAGTCACCGAACCGCAGTCACAACACTGCCCGGAACGGTCGGCCTGTGATTGGCTGACTCTGCGGCCAATGCGTGTCAGAGGCCGGCCGGATATTGCTGCTAGGGGCGGGTTTTAGAGCTGCGGACGGGGTGAGAGAGGACGGAGGTGCTGGCGGGGACTCGGCCGCGCTCGCAGTGGAGTGTCCGGGGAACTAGTGTGGGTGAGTGGGGCCTTGGAGCCCGCCTGCGCTGCGGCCCTGCCCGGCTCCCCTTGGCATTGGGAAAGCGCGAGAACGCGGGGTGCCCCCTTACAACTAACATAACAACGGCGGCCGGGCGGAGACAGTCTCCGCAGGAAGGCGAACGCGTTGAGGGCTGCTCGGTGGGGAGCCTGCGGGGTGGGCGGGGCTGCTGCCGGGTAGGTGACTGGGATGCTCTGGGGGCAGCGGGTGGGGCGGGGTGCGGCCGGGGGCGGGACTGGCGCCAGGGGCAGGCGGTGTCCAGCGCGTGCTCCTGGCTCTGCTCTCCTCGGGGCTGAGGCGGCAGCGGGTCGGGCCCGCTCCCCTCTCAGGTGCGGCGGCCCGTGGGCGGGGCAGAGGGGGTGTCACGGGAGGCGGGGGGGTCCGGCTGCCAGCGGCTCGCCTGCCCCGCCGGAGCGCCCGGGGACGTGCGGCGGGGGGTGGGGGCTGTGGCGGCGGAGCGGCCGGCGGGGCGCTGGCCTGGGCGGGGGAGTACAGGTACGGCTCGCACGCGCTCGTGTTCGAAGCTCTAACCGCGGCCTCTGCTGTGTCCGTCTCCGGTGCCTGCCAGCTGCGCCCCGGCAGCGCGCCGCCTCTGCGTGTCTCCCCCGCGCTCCCTGAGCTCGAGTATCCCAGCCCTGGCTTCTGGCCCTGCCCAGGGGGGGACGCTGCTGCGTGCCACCCACTTGTGCCTGCGGACGGGCAGCTCTGCAGGGCAGATACTCGTGGGCTAGTGCAGTGTACAGGTACCGAGTGAGGCGTGAGAAGGGACTGGCACGGCACTGGGAGGCCTTTGTATAAAAGTGGGACCCCGATACTGGCTTGAGGAAGCAGAGTTGCAGACAAGTTTGACTGGTCAGAGATGTCTCAATAGTTCTGTTCGTTCCGCATTTCTTATGCTAAATGATTGTATTGGAGCCCCCAGGTATCTGTGGGGATCAGAAGTGTGTGTTTGAGGGGGCAGGGGGAGAAAACAGGGATGGGGCTTATTCCCTGTATCTTGACTCTTGAATGTAAAAAAAAATCTGTTGGTTGGAGGGGTCATGCAGGAGAACCTGTTCATAAGGATGTGATTGCAAAGTCATAATCCGGGTGGGTGGATGGATGGCTTGAGAAGACTCAAAATCTGAGGGCTTCTCTGAACACCGTTCATGTACCAATTTTAACTATATAGTTAAATCAGTGAAACACTTAGCCCTGGTCTACGGTGGGGGTGGGGGTGGGTGTCGACCTAAGATTCGCCGACTTCAGCTACGCAAATAGCGTAGTTGAAGTCAGCGTATCTTAAGTCGACTTACTTGGCCGTGAGGATAGCGGCGAGTTGACCGCTGGCGTTCTCCCTTCTCCCCCCCCCCCCCATCAACTCCGCTTCTGCCTCTTGCGGGCTGGAGTTCCGAAGTCGATGGGGAGCGCATTCGGGGATCTATTTATCCACGTCTAGATGAGACATGATAAATCGATCCCCGATTGATCCCTACCTGCCGATCCGGTGGGTAGTGAAGACCTGCCCTTAGTGTGGATGGAGTTATATTGATATAAAACTGCTTTATTTGTATCTAGTTGGATTTTTCAATTTTTAGCAGATATGGCTTTGCTGAAATTTTGCTGAAATTTCACGTTTTTACAAGTGCTGCTTTAAGTTTAAAGGAGCATTCGCTTACCTGGCTGAATGGAATCAAATTGTGTAATGAAAAACAGGACCTTTAGTCCTGACTCAGACTAGCCACTGGTGTTTATTTGATCTGGGAAAAAAGCTATTATAACAGCTATAAAAGAAATGGACAGGCATTAATGGTGAATTGACTCATGGATCATTATCCTACAGATTCATATAGAAGTTATATAAAACTGTTCCAAAATGCTTTAGAGAGACAAGGTAGGTGAGGTAATATCTTTTATTGGACCAGTTTCTGTTGGTGAGAGAAACAAATGTTTGAGCCACACACAGAAGTTGTTCCAATCAAAGATATTACTTCACCCACCTTGTCTCTTTAATATTCTGGGATCAACACAGCTACAACTACACTGCATACCAAAGTACTTTAGTTACTATAACTAGAGATAGGGAGGGGGAAAAACAGAAGAAATTGGGGAGAAAAATTCAGAGTTGGAAAGAGGTGGAGAAATGGGCTGTACCAGAAAGGAGCGGCTTTAGACACACACACACAGTAGCTAAAATCTCTTTAAAGGAGATAAACTGATGTTAAATGAGTACGGGGGAAGGGGAGTAGTAGAGTCAGGGATCCAAATGGTAAGTGTCTCAATGAAATTCCCAACTCAACAGAAGTACTTTCTATTAGAATTGCTGATCATACTAAGTCCACATCATGCTTTTTGTAATGGAACACAATAATAAAAAAAAAGGCTACAGAGAAACTTCTGGATTCTGTGACTTTTATCTATTCCTGGCTGCATTTCTATGCAAATGAAAACAAAATGACACACATGATGAAAGCTCAACAAGCTTCCTTCATTGTGAATGGCAGAGACTTTTCAAACTAATACTCTTAAAAGGCTTGTAGAGTCAGCTGATAAAAACCAGGGATGAAAAAACTTGCCCAAGATACAGAATAGGCTATTAGAGTCCCATGCATGGTTGGACTTAACTGTTTGTTGGGGAATGCAAGAAAACTAAGCTACCCATTGGGAAGCTGCAGGCCTGTCCAATGGCATCTTTGCAGAGAGGAGAGTGTAGATAGGAATGCAAAGAGAATGGCTGAAAGGTGCTATATACGTTCAAATATGATTTCTGTTGATCTTTATGAATGTTTTGAAATATTTTGGAGAGGTTTTGAACTAGTTGAGGTTGATTAGTTGAGGTCACACAAACTTTTGTTTCTGAAGTTCAGAATTAATGTTGTAATATTGTCCTAATAGGATACTTAGGTCTGGCCTAATTGTGTTGGAATCTTTGTTTGTTTGAACACTCTTTAACTTCTAATTCTGTATGTTTTTAGGCTACAAAGTGACATCGAAGTGCTGGAGAGGGTCTGGAGACATTTGCAGCCCTTTACTTGGGATACACGTTATGAACCCTTTCTGGAGCATGTCTACAAGTTCCTCACGCAAGGTGGATATTTTAATAAACAGTATATGCATTGTTAATTGTTCACTTCTTATCAAGTTGTACTGCATAATATCACAAAACAAATTTACATTTATCAAAATATAAAGCCTGTAACTATCTAAAGTGACTTAAAATGAAGCCTCAGAATCCATCTTGGAAAAAGAAATCTTGACAAGATAGTGTTATTGAAGTGCTGTGGCTTTCTTGACTCTCACCTAGACAGCCATGAGGTAAACATAAGGTAGCTCTGCTTAGTACAGTCTGTAAAAACTGAATCCTCTAACTTGCAGTATAATACTGCAATGTCTGCCTAAGTATAAGTCTCTTCATGGGAAACTGAAATCCATGACTACCTCATCAAGAGGTGGATATTAGTAACTTGAATCATGTTGAGTCTTATCCAGACTTATTCACGTTCTTGCAGCTGCGATACTCTGGGCCAAGCTTTAACTAGATGTTTATTGGACATAAGGTGCATACCTGGGACTTCTGTGTCTATTTGACCTAAATGATGAGCACAAATAGCAGGCTTCTAAAAGGTCAGATTTTTAAAACCTGTCTTCTGTCAGCAACTCTTTAGGGGAAAAGAGAAGGAGTGCTCTTCAACATGGTTCTCTCTCTCATTCTCTGGTCCTTCACCCTGCCACCCCCAGACTAGTGCTGGAAAACAGCAAAACTATGGATTGCCTTCTAGGTTTGGCAAGTCCTGATTGTCATTGTTGTGAATCCAAAAGCTGAATGCCTCTCTAATGTTCAATTAGGGCCATGTCAATTAAATACCTTAAAGTTGGGTGCTTGGGTGGGCACATTTGAGTGCAGATCTGAGGGTTCTTCCTCTGTCTCTTAAAGAACTACCATCTGTAATAGATCTAATTTATATGCAGCTCTGAATGTGAAAAAAAAAAAAGAATAAAAATACTGGAAAAGGTTGCTGCTGGATAGAATACTTAGGATTCTGTATGGTATCTTGATAATTTGAATAATCTAGAGTGAATGTACCCTCTTTAAAAAAAAAAAAAAAAAAAAAAAATTAAGTGAAGCAGCTCAGATTTACATAAAATCCTGTTAGAAGTGGTTTGCCGAGGTTTGGAGGCGTTCCCCACCCCCTTCTGTATTGAGTTCTAGTTCTAAACAAGGTAGACAGAATATCCATATGTTGTTCAAATAGACACATCTCTTTAGTTTACTAAGTCTGAGGACTGCCCGTATTGAACGACACAATTGGTTCCCGCAAATTGCGTTGTAAATTGAAATGTCATAATTCGGAATTGCAATCCACTCACTGTGGGACCAAGCGTCGTAGTCGAAACCAATTGTCATAAGTCAAATCGGTGTCAATTCAGAAATGTTAGCGGAATGTCATAAAGTCGAGGACCGCCTGACTAGTCTGAAGTAATCCTTTCGATCAAAAAAAGTACTACACAGGCATTAACAACTTACATATACTCCTGAGGGAATTCTGTGCCAAAAAACTAAAAATTCTCTGCACAATATTTTAAAATTCTGCATATTTTATTTGTCAACAAATAAATGGTGAAGGTTTCAGCATGGCAGCGGGGAGCATAGGACACTAGCTGCACGGAGTTGGGAGATTACCCTGCAGCCCAGCCTAGCCTCCCAACTGCCTTCCTCCTCTACTTCTTCTCTCTTCCCTCCTTCCCCCGCGGACATGGACTTGGCGGTGAGGCTGCACTCAACCCTGACACAGCGCAAGGGCTGGTCCTGCCTCAGGAATACCCTCAGGCCGTGCTTCTGTGAGCTAAGCACACCAAGATAGCAAGCGAGAGGGACAGAGTCTAGCGCACATGCCCAGCCTTGGCCCTGATCCAGGTGAGGGGCAGGCAGGCTCAGCCTGGCAGGATCCAAGTGTGGAGTGGCTTAGTGTGGGAGGGATCCAGGTGTCCGGTAAGAGGGTTCTGTGTGGGGTCCAGGTGCTGGGGGGGTGGAGGAGGGGAATGAGACTCTGTAAGGGGGGGTCAGGTGAAGAATGGTTGGGATTCAGTGGAGAGGAGTCTGCATGGTGGGGGTGTTGAGGCAGTGTTGGGCTTGGTGTGGGAGGGGGTCTGGGTGCTGAGGGAGTGGGGCTGAGGGGGCGGGGGGTATGGAGAGTCCAGATGCATTGGGGTTGGGTGGACCTGGGAGCATCTCCCTGTACAATGACCATCTTCTCCTTCCACCCACCCTCAGCTAGGGAGTGGTGGGGGCAGGAAGTGTGTGTGTGGAGTTAAGTTGGACCTGGCCCTGGCTGCTCCTTGAAGGGAAGAGGAAGTCCCGCCGTCCCCAGCCCAGCTGGGACTAAAACTGAGCCCCACACAAGGGTAGAAGCCACCGGCAGGGGCATCCCCAGCCCCACGGTGATTTACCTCTGCCGGCTGCTCCGGGCACCCAAAACAACGCGCCTGTGGTGCTGGGAAGGGGAGGCCTGCCCTCTTGCGGCTTCCCTGTTAGAAGTCAGTTTTCTTCAGAGAAGCAAAGAAATCTGCAGGGGACATGAATTCTGCGCATGCTCAATGGTGCAGAGTTCCCTCGGGAGTATATGGAACAATCTGTCCGACATGTCATCGTCATTTATCAGGAGAAAAAACAACTAAAAGTTCAGTCTCTGAGGCCTGTTCAGTCTTCCACTTCCAAAATTCTCAGCAATGGTGGAAGTTATTGTGGTGGTGGTGATGATGTGAATGTCGTTAGGTCAGTTCTCAGACATTTTACAGAAGACACCAAACAGTTACATGGTAACTTTCCATCACTAAAACTGTAGTCTAAATTCTAACCAGTAACCCAGCAGTCTGTGTCTTGGCCTACCCACTGAACCATAACTAAGTTCTCCCATATGTAGAGTGAACACTTTCTCAGGTCTTTTGACTACTTAACTGCAGTGGTGATTATTTCCTGGGCAAAATAGAAAGCATGATGGTCTTTAACTGGTTAATATAGTGAAGTACTGACAAATGACACATGTAAAATCTGTCTTGTGTGGATGGCTGAAGGATTATAGGCAGCACAGGCCATCTAATGTGATTGTTAAAAACAATGACGGTAGGCTAGTATAATCTACCCAGTTGTGCTGTGCCTGCCTCAGCACAAACAATTCCCACAGAAGTGGGAGGCATTCTTCTCTTGAACTCATTGCCCCAGAATGTTCCACTCTCTCACCTCTTCTTTACTATACTAATCATTCATATATTTAAATTGCAGAGAGACTTATTAGTGGAATTGAAGTGGTTCATCTCAGTACATAGAGTGTTAGAAATGAAGACTGACTTGGAAGCTGATGTTATATTACCCGTCAGTTTCTAATTTAATGCTGTGGAGGTGTAATTTGCTTTAATCTACAGTTTTACTGCCTACTAGGAACTAAAGCAGTGTCTGCTCAGATTTCAGCCAGTTCCTGTAATAAAGAAAATCTGTCAGGAAGCAACTTGTATGGAGTCTATGACTATGTAATAACTAGTAAAGTGAAATCTTTCAAACCTAATTCAACTTCCTTGGTATATAATTGAAGAGAAGCTTTAGCTTGCAGCCTAAACTATTCAGTGTTTTATAAAATATAAATTTGAAATGCTAATATATATTGTATTTGTATTTAACATGTATTTGTATTTAACAGAGACCTGAAACTGAAGAAAAGACTCTGACTGGAGAGTTGAGAACCAGTCCTCCACGAACCTCTACAAAGAAACAGCTGCCTTCTATTCCAAAAAATGCTGTGCCGATGACCAAGCCTGCTTCTCCTGCCCCTTCATCCCAGTCTACGAATGGAACACATGCCTCCTATGGGCCTTTCTACTTGGAATACTCTCTCCTTGCAGAATTGTATGTTGCTTTAGTTTCAAAATATTTCACCTTTTTAGCTCACTGGTCTTGTACATCAGAAAACTTAAACACAATTGCAGAGAGTAGCTTTAGAAACAGGTCTTGTATGGAACTTTTAAAACCATATCCAGGATGCTCATTTAAATACTAAATCCTGCAAAATTAATATAGTCTTTTATCTTGGAGAGGAGTTACTCTTTTAGGTATAGTTTTGGATGGTGGTCTTGTACATAGCAAACTTAAAATACTTGGGCGCAAGGCATCCTCATAAGATTAATAATGTACACTAAATTGCTTTTAGGAAGAAAGTATACTTTAAAAAAAAAAGATAGCTTAACTAAAAGCCAACAAATGTCCAGCAGAAAGGTACCATGCTATCATCCTAATCTCACCACTGGCTAATATGGAGGATTTCAATATGGAGATATACCTATCTCATAGAACTGGAAGGGACCCTGAAAGGTCATAGAGTCCAGCCCCCTGCCTTCACTAGCAGGCCCAAGTACTGATTTTGCCCCAGATCCCTAAGTGGCTACCTCAAGGACTGAGCTCACAAACCTGGGTTTAGCAGGCCACTGTTCAAACTACTGAGCTATCCCTCCCCCCGTATCAGGGATAGAGTAACCATACATCCTGTTTTGGTGGGACAGTCTCTTTTTTTAAGCCCTGTTCTGGCAAAAGTGGGCATTTGTCCCATTTGTTCTTGCCAACTTGTTCAGATGGCAAGAGCAAACAGGACAAATGCCCACTTTTGTCAAAGGGTGCGGAGGAACATCCGGTGGGGGAGTGATAATGCCACCCTGCGCAAGGGGGGAGGCAGGGCTTGGGCAAGCAGTGATGCCAGCTCCAGCCTTGTGATGGGGGCAGGCAGGGCTCGAGCAAGCAGTGATGCCAGCCCCACATAGGGAGCGGGGCTCAGGCCTGTGGCTCGGACCAGCCTGAGGTTGGGGGGTGCTTGTACAAGTAGCTGAGGAGGGGCCTCAGACTAGCCCCATGTGGTGTCCTGTTTTTCCTTTTGGGAAATATGGTTATCCTAATCGGGGATTCCCAGACTTTCTCATACTGTGGACTATTCCTCAGTCACGTGTGATCAAATGTGCAGCAATTAAAGTGGATACTTGCATGGAAAGTCAATATTAGGAAAATCATCTTCTAATGAATTTTACCATGAAATTTATAAGAGGAGGAGCCAATGAAATGTAACTAGTCAGCTTTCCATGGACCACCAGGAAGTGCTCTGGACCACTGCTCCATGGATCAGTCTGGGATTATGAATGTAGGAGGGAGCAAAAAATGCAAATTTGTGTCGTGTCAAATTTTTCTTCTTAGTTACATAACTTGTCTAGTGACTTCATCTGTTGCATTCTCAGCTATGAAATGGATTTCTGAATGCAATTCCCCTGAGCCCTGATGCAATGCTAATTTTGAAATACACTTTTTCCGTTTAAAAACCTTAAATTGAAGATGAGAACTCTTTAAAAATATTTTAGTTCTATTTACGTACATTTTCATGCTGTGGGGCTCTAGTTAATCTTCTGACAACCCGAGTTTCTAACATATGTTAATCAATTTAAGATGCCAGTGTCATGGAGTGCAGCAGAGAATAATGGTCTCCTGTTGCTAAGCGATTGCTGATGGCGTATGGAAATCAAAGTCTTAGCAGAAAGCACTGATATAACTAAAGTTTTTTTTTTTTTTAAAAGGGGTACTATAACAAATGATGTCATCTAACTTTGATACTGGTACAATCAGAGACAGTTGCTCACTAGTTCATCGTTGGCCTGCTGTGTTCAGCTTAAAACAGACTTGTGCATGTGCCAACTAATCAGAGAAGCCTATTTATAAATTGCTTTAGCTGAATACTGTGTTAAGCATTCACTTTCAGTGAATGGCTCAGTAAAATTCTATTTAGTATTTCCAACACCATGTTGGAAACATACCAATTTTTTGTTTCCACTCGGGGAACAGCAAAAATGTTGCCTTGTGCTCTTATTTGCTCTCAGCATTGCAATGCTATTTCCATGGTATAATGGTGTCTACTAAAGGGCAAAAACAATAGAGAGGAAGGTGAGAGGAGAAATCACTTGTAATCCATTGGACATGAACGGCTTAAATCCATGACAAAAAGTAGAGGACTCAGCTCACACTTGTGTGACCAGTCTCAAATGACCGGGGAGTGGGAAGGGGGAAAATAGGGGTCAAAACTAAGGTCATACTTTGCATTGTTTTCTTGCCTTGGATTTGGTGATTCAACCCTCTCTGCTCCTGGTACTCTTGAGGCCTTAATTGTCTAAAATACTTTCTTGCGCTAGACTGCCCTCCTTGGTTGGCATCTTCACTTGCCCTATTCTGTTGCCACGCCACTTCCCCCTTGACCTACAGTAGTTACCATGATTATGACTAAAAGCATTGTTTAAATTTCAAGTTAAAGCTTTTGTTAATATTAAAAAAATAGAACTACAAGCAGTTTTATTCACTACACTTGCCCCAAATCCCTCTGTCAAATTATGGTTATACAGATACATTTTCTTTTTTATAAAATCTCTTCCATTGCTGTGTAATAGCCACACAAATAAGGGAAACTGACTGTATAGGAGGAGAGTGAAAATGACTTGACCCAGTGCTGACTTGTTAAATATATTACTGAAATATGAACTTTCCCTCCTAATCTTCCGTTTCCAGTAATCTTGAACAAGAGGCGTAATAATTTCCTGCCAGTATCTCTTTAAATGGGGGGGGGGGGGGCAGAGGGAGGGAAAGTGGATTCTTTAGTTCCTTACCCCTCCCCCCTGTGAGCACATCCACCCTTGGGGTTGGAAGGGAAATATTTCTAAGAGTCCCTTGTTGAGATATTGGCAGCACAGCAATGGCCTTTCTTGTGTACTGAGAAGTCTTCTGCAGAGTGCATATGCTAATCCAGTCCTCATATGGCTCTTTCTCCTAAATGACTGATTATTATTACAGCACTTTGGTCGTAAAGCAGAAGCTGCCAGGAGTTTATGTGCAGCCATCTTACAGATCAGCATTAAGTAAGTTCAGGGGTAGTTCTTTTATTTTACCATATTTAAGGCATTTTGCACCAATTCATACAACTCTTCTTCCTTACAGTGTGGTTTGGAGTAATATTCATAAGACATGGCCTCTACCAGGATGGTGTGTTCAAATTTACAGTCTACATCCCTGACAATTACCCAGATGGCGACTGCCCCGTAAGTGCTGGAGTAATCTAACAACAATTGTGAAAATTTAGTTTCCTTTTATGGTGTTGGAGAATGGCATTTGTTCAGTTCCTGGGACTGGCTTTGTTCACTGGTTGGTGAAGATTAGGAACACACTTCTGACTGGCTTGTACACCCTACTTACTCTCGGTGGAGGATCATCTTGTTACTCTGTAGCAACTTCTCTGTGTCTGCATAGGGTGTGGGATTGACTTTCAGGCTCCACCAGTCCTTCTAAATTAGAGGTTTTGGACCTGCATTGTGGTAACTGTAATTATGACTCCTGGATCATAGTAGCCCTTGAAGGAGTGGCTAACTACTTGAAGTATTTTCTTGACTATTAAGCTTGGGTGAAGGTGGGACTGGAGTTGTCATCTGCTTCTTTGTTTCAGTAACTTCATGTTTCCTTTTGGTATGTAAAATGAAACAATATTCCTGTGCCTTTGTACAACTTTTGTTCCTTCCTAGGATCAAACTTTTTAGGACTAGCAGCAGAATATTCTTGCTTATGAAATTGGTCTCCTCTGTCAATATGATTGCTTTCAGAGCACAATGAAGATGTGCTTAGCCAGGCCTTTGTAATCTTTTTATGATGTTGGCAGAACATTACAGCCACAAACTCCTGAAGGAAACAGTTTAATTGACAGCTTTAAAGAAGTAATTTAAACACTTTTTAAAGGGACAGCATCAGTGGGGAAACTGTCAGTTGAAAATGATTAATTCTGCACCTGTTCCTAGGTCAATCTGCCAGTTTTGGGGTTTGAAATCCATTTTCCTATTAAAACTAACTGCCCTCTTGCTGTAGGAACTTAATCAATAGGGAAAACAGTGAACTGGCCAGACACAATGCTGTCAAATGTTCAAAGTAAAACCGATTCTTCCCCCCACCCCCTTCTCAATTCAAGCAATTCAAGGGGTTGCTTCTAACAAAAGTAGCAGAGGTCTCCTTAAGGATTTGGGCACCCATTAACAGGGTCATAAAAACGTATCTAAGTGAAAGTTGATCATAAATCAGATGATAAACCATAGGCTTGAGTAATTTCACTAAAGCAATTTTGAACTTTTATCTCTAACACAGCGATTGGTGTTTGATCTACCAGTCTTCCACCCACTAGTAGATCCTCTCTCAGGTGAATTAGATGTGAAAAGAGCATTTGCAAAATGGAGGTGAGTACTAATGTACTGGTGTCTAATACAGAAATGCTGTACCTCTGTCCCTCACTAACTAACTACTCTCTTCCTAGGCGAAACCATAATCACATATGGCAAGTACTAATGTATGCTCGCAGAGTCTTCTACAAGATTGATACGACCAGTCCTTTGAATCCGGAAGCTGCAGTGCTGTAGGTGTCATCCTAAACTGTTTTGGCTATGTATTTAGAACTTCATATTCTATTTTCATTAAGCTTTTTGTTTTATTTCTTTACTTACAGACAAAATACCTGTGCCAGAGTCTAGATTAAACAGCCAAATTTAGCTGTTTATCATTTATTTTTTAGCACCTGTTTATGGTATATAGAATCAGCTAGCTGAACAAACTTAAAATACCCCAATTCCCGTAGCCTCCCCCATCATGTTGAAAAACCAAGACTAGTTTACAACTTGCTAATTTCATATGGTGAAGTTTTAAGAAATGTCTCTCTTATAGATATGAAAAAGACATTCAGCTGTTCAAAAGTAAGGTGGTAGACAGTATCAAACTATGCAGCAGTCACTTATTTGATCAGCCTAAAATAGAAGATCCCTATGCAATTAGGTAAGTAGCCTATGTATTATACTTAATTCCTATGTTCTACTATTCTAAATTCAAGCACACTCAGTCTAGCTTTTGATGCCAAGTCCTAGTATGGCCATCACTTCTGGTCTAACAACCCTTTACAAAAATCCCTTTATACCCACATCTGAATCAGGGTAGTTGACAGTTAATACTGAGTAAAAGGTTAATGCAGACTGACACAACATTGCTAGAGAGACAAGGTAGGTGAGGTAATAACTTTTTTTTTAATTGGACCAATTTCTATTGGTGAGAGAGACAAGCTTTCAAACTTGCACAGAGCTCTTCTTAAGATCTGAGAAAAGTATTCAGCATGCCTCAGCTAAATATGAGGTGGAACAGATTGTTTAGCATAAGTAGTTAAAGCATTTCAAGGGACCATTCAAGATGAAGTGGCCGGTTAACACCTCTCCAGTCATAGTGGGCAGAAGGATAAAACAAAGTTGTGGGGCCAGTTTCCTCCAGGACACAACTGACTTCCTCCACAAACTCCAACATTAACAACCTCCCTCAGAATGCCATTCTTGCCACCATGGATATCCCCTCCCTGTACACCAACATCCCTCACAATGATTTCATTGCTGTGTCCCTCAAGTATTTACAAGACAATGGGTAACCCTCAGATATCCATCCCAAACACCATCCAACTAATCCATTTCATCCTTACCCATATCAGTTTTTACATTCACTAACAAACACTTGTTCCAAGCCATGGGATCAGCCAGAATGGCTACTCAGTAAGCCAACCTCTTTGTGGGCCATCTGGAAGAAGAATTTCTGGACAAATGCACCATAAAACCAATGTATCTCCGGTATATCATTGATATTTTCGTCGTCTGGACAGACTGTTGAAACTCACTGATAGATTTCAACCACATATCTTTAAACTCTCTAGAGTACTCCCACGCTAGCATCAACTTCCTGGACACCATGATCAGCTTCAGCAACGGAACCCTACAGGCAACTATGTACAAGAAACCCCTGATCACCACACCTGTCTTCACAGATCCAGTAACAACCCCAGACACACGAAGAATTCTGTTATCTACAGCCAGGCGCTCAGATACCACAGAATAAGCTCTGAGGAGAAAGTCTGGGATATACACCATAACACAAACCCTGAGAGTTGCTGTATTGATACAGTAATAAAACCCCCTCTGACCACAACTCTGGCTGTCACTCACCACAACAGGCAGGAATCCACTGGGGGTATCGTCAAACAATTACAATCCACAGTCGATGGGAACTACATCCTGAAGGAAAGCTTTCCCGCACCCCCTTTCTGGTGATCAAACAACTTCCAGCCTCTCCAAGCTCATCATCAGAAGTAAGTTCCCCACAGACCCAGACATACCAATTCAGTGACTCGAGACCCTGCCAGAATAAGTGACGCGAAACTTGTAGACCCATTTCCACTGCTGTGATGATCAACACACCGCCTCCCCCACAACACACCTGTCAAAATCCATGCATCCTACACATGCCTATCACAACATGTGGTGTACCTCATCCACTGTGCTAAATGCCCCAGTAACCGCTGTGACTGGTTTCACCCACAATCACTCTACACTCGAATGAACTCGCACAGAAAAATGGTAAGACAAACACACAGCATATCACCTGTGGATTAACACTTTTCACAAAGCAGTGACTCTCAATCTGACCTCAGTCCTCCTTCTCAAAGGAAATCTGCCCAACATCTGCAAAAGACAAGCCTGGGACGTTAAATTCTTAACATCACTCGATACTAAACATCATGGACTGAATGATACACTGGATTTATAGCTTTCTACAATCTAGAACTCACTTAAACCCCCCAGCTTTCTCTCTTCCCCCTCCCTCCCCCCCTTTCTCCTATGTCTGGAGAGTTGTTAGCAGGCCACTTCACCTTGACTGGTCCCTTGAAATGTTAACTACTTATGCTAAACCATCTGTTCCACCTTTTTATTTAGCTGTGACACTCGGAGTATGTATCCCAGACCTGAAGAAAAGCTCTGTGCAAGCTTGAAGCTATTGGTTCAACTTTCGTTGGAGAGACAGAAAAAGATATTACCTTATCTACCTTGTCTCTCCATATTGGTCCCAGGATATTGATTACAACAACACTGCTAAACTAATATGTAAATTTCCTTACCAATTATCCATTAAATATTGGCTTGCTTAGTGAATAACAAAATAATCTGGTCAGTTTAAGGGCACCCATGGAACAAATCTGGTGTTCAGATATTTACAAGTTGAACTTGTATGCTCTGTTTGAACTGTTGCAGTGGCAATATAGCTCTGTGAAACTTCGCTCTGGTACTAGGAGTTAGAACTGTCAACTAGTCACTGTTAGTGTATTTAGCATTTGGTGGTGAATTCCTAATTTTTGGTGCTGGTATCAGCTGAAATTAGTATTTGCGTGCTTAACACTGAGCAGATACATGTTGGATGAGATCTGTGATGAGCCACTTTGTGGATTAGGTGTTTTTCTCTTGATGTTGTTGGGAGAAACAAGGTTTTGCAGCTCACTGAAAGCTCAGAGTAACATTAGAAATCGTCCCACGCTCATTCCTGTAACTTTTTCTGAAGTGGATAGTTGGGTGAGGAACATTAAAGCAAAATGAAGTTCATAACACTTCTGCTTTCTTCTGTAGCTTTTCTCCATGGAATCCAGCTATACATGATGAAGCTAGAGAGAAGATGTTGACTCAGAAAGTATGTAGACAAAGTCCAACTTATTTATACTACAGTAACACTCAATGTACTGGGCACTGTAGAGCAGGGATGGTCTTCATTCATTTATTTTGTAAAGCGCGTGTAGTCTATATAAAATCCTAAATATACCTATAAGATTTTTATAAGTGGGTGTCAAAAGTTGGGCAGTTAAGTAAATGTCTTGAGTTTCAAAAGCACAGCGCACCCAGCAGCTCATTTACAAAATAATCTTGGCTACACGGTTCTTTGCTGCCTGGGAGCACTGTTAAAGGTTCATGTGCTTTATTTCTATTCTATTCAAGTGCTGGAAGTGACTGTTAATCACTAACACTAGCTACTGTCTGGTAGCCTGTCTCAGGTTGGATATGTTCAGTATTGTGCTCCTGTTGCTTGAACAGGTGACTGCTTAGCATTAACACAGTCACTTTCTCCATTTGAGGAGACTTGTTACCTAATGACAAATGAGTCAAAACTCCAGAACTTTCTAATTTCATTATATGTAGGAACTCTGCTGGGAGGAGGAAAATGATTTACTAAAACTACTTGGATGCTGCGGCTATTCCCCTGGGGAAATGTCAGCTCAACAGCAGAGCCAAGAACATTTCTAGAACACTAGAAATAACTTCCTTAAACAATTTGGTCAATACCAGGGTTGCTTCATGTTTTACAAAATATAAAGCACAAGCCATGGTATTTCCTGGTCACTAGGGATGCTGCTGTCACTCCCTATACCATGCACTTGCAAAGGTATGTTACTGTTGTGATATCTATGGACTCTGGGAGGTTTGGACTCATACCATAACATAGTCTAATTACACCCATCCAGCTGGACTACTGGGTAAACTCTGGACTTTGGAGATCAGGGGTAGCTATGCTGATAGCTTTTGGGCATGAGAACACCTTGCTGTGAGAGCAGGAAATGGAGGAAGCTTTCTCAAATTTTTGGTTTTATTTACTGTGAGGACAAGTCCCTGTTCCAAGGTGGGGATCTCCAATGGGGCTCTTCCACCCTCCCCTCCTGGCCCCCTCAATCAGAAGTGTCTACTGAAACTGAACCACATCCATGCATGGGAACCAACTGTGAAAACCTGACAGCACTCTGAAGTGCAGCATTACAGAGCTTTATCTACTTGCAGAGCATGGGATTCCTATGTTGGTGGTATCCTTGCCTGCCTGATGCATTGCAGATTTGCAGGATGACTGACATGGGGAAAACCCTCCACCGGTTGCTGACTGCTGTTCTGAGAAGCCTCTGATGGCAGGCCCTGCTGCTTCCTCTGCAGGCTCAGATTTGCATCTCCATGCATAAAGTCTCAGCTCTTGTGCTCATGTTCTCTGGCCTGAACATTAGTTCTCTATTAGGCCTCAATGATATGCTGGCTCTACATGCTACGTGGCCGTATTCTTAGTAACATACAACAGATGCTGGAGTGAGACTGCTCTTCTGGGGGTTCTGAGGCTGCAGGAGGATAACCTGAGAAATGCATTGTAGTTCTCTGGTTTCCCCCCCCCCCCCCCACCTTGTTCATCTACTCTAAGGGTCCTGGGAAAGAGATTAGGCAGTTGTACTCTATGGAACAACTGAGATTTGCAGGAGAGAAGACTGCCTAGGGAGGCTTGGGGTTGTGCTGGTGGTAGAGGTGAGACTTACCACCACCACCCCTGAGGTACATCAGGGCCACATCTGAATGAACTTCACAACAAGCCTCCTTAGTAAATGGCTTGCATCTAGAAGTCGGTCTGCAGAAAAGAGTGTGTGAGTCTTCATTCTTTTTAAATGGAAGCCTAAGTCTCGAGCAGTCATTTGATGCCTCCTACTAATCTTGTCAGAGTAGGCTTTCTATAGAAACAGTGCTAACAGCTAACATTTAGTTGATTAAATGCCAATAGCAAAAAAAAAAGCTGAGATCTCTGAATCTTTAGTGTCATTCTGCCACCTCTTAGCCAATTAACTTGAAATATTGTACATACATTTTACTTAAATCCTACTACTGATGAGATTGAGACTTTGTGGATTTTAGATGTGAGCCAAAATAGCTTACTTCAAAACAGGAGGCATTTGTCTGTGCCCAAAAAACTTGGGGGAACAGGATCAGGCACCTTGAATTTTAAGGAGGACTTCACCCAGGATCTCTTGCCCTCAAACTGAAATCCACATTGCAGCCAGCAACCCAGCAGCAGATTTCAGAGGGGGTGTGTGTGTACCCAGCACCTCTCCCCCCCTTCTTGCTGTTTTGAACTGGCAGCTACCATTACCAGAGGCCCTTGTTGTCACTGCCTGACAGACATTTCAGGGCTGCCTGCCTCCTGGAAACTCTGTGGGATTCTGCCAGCATGCTGACACTTCAAGATTAATTTTGTGGTGAGCTAAGAAACCACTGGCTTACCGCCAAGGATCTGCTTTACTGTTGGGGCACTACTTATGCCCACATGGATCAGTTAGCATTGCCAGGCAGAAAGCATATCAGCATGTGAAACTTCCACTGCTCTCCCATCCAGTGAGGTATGTCATCCTGCAGAACTGGCGCATTGTTTAAATGTGACATAGTGGGCGTACACATAGGCCTCTTGATACTAAAAGCCTAAGAGGAGTCTACTGCACAATCCTCAGCAACGTGGTGGATAGAGATACACATCCTTTCTATACAGAAATCTGCAACCTGATCTCCCTTTGATTCTTTGCTAGATACTAAAGTGAATATGTAATCTTCAGAAGGTGCCTTAGCCCCTTGCCTGTTGCCAGCTGCAGTTTCCTAATCTACCATCTCCCTCAATTCCAGTCCTTTCTTCTGCTTGCTCATTCTCACTTCTACATCTAACTTAGCAGTTAGGTAAGGTTTTGGAGTGGTGCATCTTGTGTTCTACTGTTACATTGCCTTCTAGTACTCATTCACCAGTTTAGAGGACCCCTTACTACAAGATTGATTTTATTTAGGACTCTGGAATCCTCTCTGGGTTTGGGAGGGTGCCCTCTGCCTCTAGCACACTAGGATGCTGTGGTGTCCAGAAACCTTCAGGAAAGCTGCTACCATCTTCAAACCGTGGTACTACTGTGTAGGATCCATTATACTGGTGGATGAGTAACTATAATAGGACCAACTTGAAGTAAAAAACAGAACAAACTGTCTTACTGTTAGTGTACCTTTGCTTAGCTGTAAATGGGATTGACTCTATTTTTGACTACAACTTCGGTAGGTAAAGTGGCAAATGCTTGCTATGATAGGGTGTTCGGAGTGGGCCTCAACAGAACAGAATAAAAATTAAAAAAAACAAAAAACCACCCAGCTTCCTGCTTTAGGTGCAGAGTAGAGTAGCAAAAATGTACTGCAGCATTGAGATTCCTAATGTCATACTTTGCATGTCTATGGCATTAGCAATGTGTAGCGGCTTTCAGATTGCCAGGCTAGCAACATATCCTTAAAAATAGTAGCTAGCTTCCAGTGCATGCATTTATAATAGTGTCCCTGTCTGAGAGGCAAGGACAGGTATGAAGATCTGCCAAATGTAAAAATACCCAACAAAAAAACAACTATATACTTCTTTGGTGTTTTTAAAAAAAAAAATAGTAGTGATTTCTGACTCTCACTTTGTTCTGCCTAGAAGAAGCCAGAAGATCAACACTGCAAAAGCATGCAGGTGTCTGGGCTGTCCTGGGTAAAGCCTGGTTCAGTGCAGCCTTTCAGTAAAGAAGAGAAGACCATGCCTACCTAATTCTTCTGGACCATGATGCACAAAACACTTTCTGTAGGTGGAGGGAATGTAACGGAGAGAGAAACGGCAAACTAGCAGTTTCCTTCTTGACAATGGATTAGTAAAAACTGAACGATAGCAGTGACTCAAGTAAACCTGCTCAATGGATTTTTGTGGACTCTTCTCAGTGTTTTACATATGCATTAAGTTTTAACAGCAGCCTGGAGGATGGAAGTATCTCTAAACATTGCAGTAATTCTATTAATGAAGACTGCCTAGGATGGTAACTCCCAGGGCTCCAAAATGCCTGGAGGGTTTGTCTAAGCTTTTATTTTCCTTTCAGGAATAGCAATTTTGAATCTTAAACTGGCAGAAGTATTAGCAGGAAAAACTGATGCCAGAGGTAAGCTGTGTTCCTATAAACTAATATAGCAGAGTTAAACACTATATATTTAATGATTTTTAAATACATTGGTTTCTATTGTAAATACATTAGGATTTTAAATTGTAAATAGCGGGTTCAGTGACTCCAACTAGCACTTTCAAGAAAGGCAGAGCTGAGATTGGCACTCGGCATATGATATATTACTGACTTGCAAATGGATGTTGTCACTAAAGCACACATTAGTCTGACAAGATGAGAGCAGAGTGTTAGGTTTACTAGGCTTTTATTACATAAACACTAAAAATCAGCTTTTATTGGTGGTTTTGATCTAATAAAATCTTAGAGGATGTTAGACTTCCTATGTGTTAAGACTGCAGGGATTACTAGGCTAGTTTGGCTAATGTGTGTTAATAGTGACATCTTAAAAAATAAAAAAAATCATGTTAACCTTGCTGCATTGTTCCTTTGTTAACTACACAGTAGTCTTGAAACAAATATCAAAGTAGTTGTTGGTATGAAGACATCAGATTGTATGTTATAGATATCATCTTTGTACATAAATTAGTCTTACCTACGTGCTTTGTCCAGGGTACTAAAAGGAATCCTTAGTCTTGTGTGTGAACAAAAGGTTTCAAATTGGAGATTTTTACCTTTTGACACTAATCCTTTAATGTGAGGCAGTCTGACAAGGTCTGTTTTCTGTTTAACCTTTTCTCGTACACTGACATACCTGCTTCAGTTCCAGTTTCCAGACTCCACAGCCAGTACTCCTGCTTTGCTTCTCATGCTCTTACTTTTTTTTTTTTTTTTGGGAGACTCTACCCTTCTTAATTTCTCATAGTAGTAATGGTTTAATACAAAACACGTTACCAGGTTACAAGAAGTAGTGGCTTCCCATATCCTATAGAATTCTTTATTTTAATTTGTTTTAAAGTTGCTAAATGACAAGTTCTCGTCATTCTAAAAAACTCAAACACTTCCTTAAAAGCAAGGAAACAAATAGTTTAAAGGCATCACAAATCCTACACTACTACTGCTACCCTAGATTAAAGCAAGAAGTGACCATTCCGATCAGCAAGTGCATAGCCTCCTGCATAACAAAGGCTATAAGACTTGCCTGAATTAATTCCTCTTTGAACTAGAGCATATAGATATAACACGAATTCAGATATAACGTGGTAAAGCAGTGCTCCGGGGGGTGGGGCTACTCGCTGCAGTGGATCAAAGCAAGTTCGATATAACGCGGTTTCACCTATAACGCAGTAAGATTAATTTGTTTTGGCTCCCGAGGACTGCATTATATCGAGATAGAGGTGTGTGTATGTGTACACACACACACACACACACACCACATCCACTCTTGACTTCAAGTTCTAATCAGGGAGACTATACCACAACTGCTAAGCAGTTGCTCCAATAGGAATGTATCTAGTAGACAAAAGTGCCTGTTCCCTCCCAACACAACTTTAACTCTGACAGATGTATTGAAGCTTTTTATCTTGGTAGCTAGGTGGCAAATACATATTGGGTGAGATTGCTTTTTAAGACCTTTTTAAGGGCCCTTCTAATGCTGGGTTATCAGGGCTTGCCCCAGGCCAGTCTAAATTACATTAGTCTCATGGGTCTGCCTTGGGTTTCAGGAGTGCCCAAGGCCTGGCATGCCCCCTACACCAGGGCTTTCAAGGGTGGTCCCAGACAACAGTTTAACAGCTGTCTTTCTCAGTTCTTGCAGTTTGGGAAAAGCTCCCTCTGCCAAAACTGGGGCTTCTAGGGTCTGTGTATGCCATGTAAAGGAGCTAGAGCAAGGTAAAGACCTTGCCCCCACTTCCTAAGCAATACTTTGTAAGTGAGATGTTAATTGACAATTATTTTTGAAAAGTAACTTGTATCAACTTATGGTGAACTGAAGAGATGGATTTGCTTTTGTTCATTAGCAGAATAGGTATATCCATAAACCAAGTTATTTCAAGAAGATGTGTGTACAGTGAGAGAATGACTCAAAATACATTACTGAGGGAAGAACAAAGTTTAGGGTGACTTTGAAATCGTGTCAGAGGAAAACATACTTAAAGCAGCAATTCTCTGTTAATGGATAATGTGACACAAGCAAGAGTAGGGTCTATGTAGTAGCGTTAGTGAGCAGTCTTCATCTGTAGTCAGTTCACAAGCGTCCCAAGAGATTCTCCTGTATTGTACAGTTGAAGGTTATTCTGGGGGAATTCTGCACAATGCACAATTTCTTCCTCCCTCCCCACAACTATGGGCTTCTGGTAGCTACTAGGGCCTCCAGGAGCTGGCAGAGCACAGCTTGCAAATAGAAGACACTGTTGGGAAAGGGGGGGAGAAAGCTGGAGGGTTCCTGGCCGTTGAAGTTCTCCACATGCCCTGAAGGAAGGAGGTGGCGTGCAGGAAACTCCGTACAAGCCTGGGACCCAGCATCATGCTGTTTCTCCCTCTGGATCCCTGGGCTCTGGGAAGGAGGACATGTGGGTGTCTGGACTGGGGGAGCACCCTGCAGCTGGGCTCTAGAGGGGTGTGTGCAGGGGTTGGGAGTGGGCACCCCATGGCTGGGCTCTGAAGGGGAGGGGGCAGAGAAACAGGAACTGGGTTGTCATAGGAGTTTCTTTAACTCTACTAATGGGGCAATTTTTTTGTCTGTAGTTAGACATATTTGCTTACAGGTATTTTGAAATAAATTACCAAAATTGAAACTGGTGTGATTATAGAGTGGTGTTTTGACAAAAAATGTGCAGAAGTTTAGAATATTCGTATGCAGAATCTTTAACGTTTTTGTGCAGAATTCCCCCAGCAGTAGAAGGTATAAGCCTGTTTTGAGTTTGAGGCCAACAGATGAGTCTGCTTCAAATCAGAATAGATGGGACCTAAACTTAGAAGTCCATTTCTACAACATGTAAATTCCACCTCTTCTGCCTTCAAAATAAATATAGCACTTTTCCAAAGTCAGTGTGAATCTAAAAAAGTGCTTAAAACTAGATGTTTGCTGGAACTTAAACCATCCCTGTCCTAGGGGAGAGGAAATAAGCAGTGGATGCCGGGATGCCTAAACTTAGACTGATAAACCTCAATAGGGAGTTCTGAATCAGTGTCCTGATTTAACAAGGGCTAAGTAACTGTTAGCAGTTGCCTTCAGCAGGAGCCTAGTGCTTCCATTACATGTTGTGCAACACATAATAATGTTGGTCTTGTACCTCACCCTCCCCATCTATAAAGGGACCGAGTCAAATAGAGTAATCTCAGGTTCCGTTACTAAAAGCGCTCTTACAAACTTGGGAGTACTATGATGTTGGTCACACTTTCCTATTTTAACCAGGCTCTCTTCCACCCTCCTCCCCCTGCTGTGAGAATGACCTGCAAAAACTAGATGCCTGATCAGGCAGAGACACATCAACAACTGTTCCTTTGAGACAAGTTACTGATTATGCCTTGTGTTTACACCCTTCCTTCTCGATGCTGGGAAAATTCATAATCCCTATATGTGTATCCCCAGCTATAGCAGCAGCTGGAAGCTGTACTATTGATAAGGCCCTACCAAATTCAGGATCCATTTTGGTCAATTTCACAGTCAGGATTTAAAAAATAGTAAATTTAATGATTTCAGCTATTTAAATCTGAAATTTCAGAGTGTTGTAATTGTAGGGGTCCTGACCCAAAATGGAGTTGTGTGTGTGTGTGGGGGGTCATAACATTATTGGAGTGGGGTTGCGGGTACTGCTACCCTTACTTCTGTGCTGCTGCTGGGGGTGGCTGCCTTTAGAGGTGGGCAGCTAGAGAGCAGCTGCTGGCCAGGAGCCCAGCTCTGAAGGCAGAGCTGCTGCCAGCAGCAGTGCAGAAGTAAGGATGGCCTGGTATGGTATTGCCACCTTTACTTCTGCGCTGCTGCCTGCAGAGCTTGGCCCTCAGTCAGCAGCTACTACGCTTCAGCTGCCCAGCTCTGATGGGAAGCAGCACAGAAGTAAGGGTGGTATGGCATGATATGGTATTATGACCCTTACTTCTGCGCTGCTGCTGGCTGGGTGCTGCCTTCAGAGTTGGGTCCTTGGCTAGCAGCCGCTGCTCTCCAGCCACCCAGCTCTGAAGGCAGCAGTAAGGGTGGCAATACCATGACCTACCCCCCCCCCCCCCCCCCAAAATAAGCTTATGACCCCGCCGTGCACTTGCCTTTTGGGCCAGGATCCCCAATTTGAGAAACACTGGTCTCTCTTGTGAAATCTGTAAAATATAGGGTAAAAGCACACGAAAGATTGGATTTCACAATCTGTGACATGTTTTTCATGGCCATGAATTTGGTAGGGCCCTAACTATGGACAGGGCTTGCCTTTTTTACTACTTTTTTTGCATGTGTCTCAGCTACGTTAATAAACTGAAAACAATAAAAACACTTTTGCCTCTAATCCAGGGGTGGGCAAACTATGGTGCAGGGGCCACATCTGGCCCTCCAGACATTTTAATCAGGCCCTCGAGCTCCCACCGGGAAGCAGTGTCTGGGGTTTTCTCCACTCCAGCTGGGGAGTGGGGTCTTGCCCCACTCTGCATGGCTCTCAGAAGCAGTGGCATGTCCTCCCTCTAGCTCCTATGTGTAGGGGCAGCCAGGAGGTGCTGCATGCTGTCCCTGCCCCAAGCACCACCCCCACAGCTCCCATTGGCCAGGAACCACAGCCAATGGGAGCTGCAGGGGTGGCGCCTGCAGACAGGGCAGTGTGCAGAGCGGCCTGGCCGCACCTCCATGTAGGAGCCAGAGAGGGGACATGTCACTGTTTCTGGGAGCTGCTTGAGGTAAGCGCTGCCCAGAGCTTGCCCCCTGCCCCCCTCTAGTGCCCCTGCCCTGATCCCCCTCCCATTCTCTGAGAATGGGGAGAAGGGAATATTTAATGGATAGGTTACCCACTGACAGTGAAACTAGCATAGTCTCCAATTCCCTGCTCTCACACTGACTTAATATGTCCTTGAGCAAGCCATTGCCTCATACTATAAATTAGGGTAAGAATGGATTCCTAGTTCCCAGTCACCCCCCAAAATCCCTACTTGCTGTCCAGGATCCCCAAAAAACATGGATTTGCATCCTTCTCTATGTAGCAGGGATGGGGAGAGACGTGCAAAGAACCCCCTTGATGGCTTAGTGAGTTGGGGGGGCGTGAAATGAGTTACAGAGCACACTCCTGTCAGTGCTGTAAGGGCTTGCAGGTAGTTATTTTCCAGGTGTTCTCCATCAAGGCATCAGGCTCATCCCTGGTGATTGCTTTTCTTAATGGGAAATCTGTGTCAGCTGGGCTCTTTCCAGTCACTAGAACACAGCAGAAAGTGGCTCAGTTTTAGCTCACAGTCCTCATGAAAAGGTTACTGGCTTTGTATGCTATCAACACAGACTTAAGGAGTGCCTGCCTCTCTGTTTTCTTCGGAAAAGACAAGACAAAGCTACTTCTGAATCC